ATACTACTGCTTCTGTTATACTGAAATAATGTTATTAATCATAAATTAAATGATTCATGACCTCAGCAAGTCTTAAAGGCTGTCTACAAGGTACAAAATACTTGACAGAAGAAACAGCTTAATCAACTTAAGTTTTATGAAAAAGGTTTACTAGTATTAGATTTATATCAACTACTTATATTTTCCTAATTTAATCCAAGTAATTAGTACTAAAACCAGAACTTTTAAAGACATTTAGCACATACTCTCATCACACCATAAACACCTTATAATGCTAATGCTGTAGCAGGTAACCAACAAGGTTAACAGCAATTTATAATAATTTTAGTTACTGCATATTAATTTTCAATAAAAGGTGGCAAAAATAACTAAGAAAAAAAGTTGTTTTAAAATAAGATTGCTATTATAGCACTATAACAATGCTCGCCTAACAATGAAAAAAATATCCAAAGTAAACCAAATGCCAAAACATTTTTTGGGCCAGGGACTTGAAATACTCTAATTTTTAATCATGAGTAACAACCCTAATAAAAGATGATGCAACACCAAATATTAAGCTCAGCTTCACTGCTTTTTTTTTTGACTTCAACAAATATGCTAGAAACAGTAATTTGTTTAAAGTCACTCTTGAAAAAGCAGAACAAGTTAAGACATAAATTAATCAGATATTATATATACAAGGACAAAACATTTATTATCTAAGTTTAAGCTTTACCACTGAAATATATGACTATGAAACATTTTACATCAAACAAATCGATTTTTGTGATTGTTTTATAGCTTACAAAAACAGATTCAAATTAGCTACTTTATGCTGTTTTGGAAGCAAACAGGGTTAATAGCATTTTATGATAACCACGTATTTCTTAATAGGGTTTATCTTCAATTTCTGACAAATATTCTCAACCTTAATTCTATTTAGGAATAGGTTTTAGAAAGCAGTTTCTTCTAATTTGTAATAAATAGAAGTTTCATAAATGGGTAGTAAACCATAAAAGATTATCACTTTGTGACATTCCCAACACTTACGAAAAATGAAATGTTAAATCCCCTAGTTCTCAAACAGCAACAAAGGCAAAGTACTTTCTTACACCTGTGAAGCTACACTGCTTCTGGCAAGAACATTATGAAAATAAAGATCAGGGCCACCTCTGCTAAGTACAGCCTGCTGGTCCGTAATTTCAAGCAATTCTGAGATTGAGTTCTAGTTCTCTACAACTCTTCAAAGATTCTTTATCCTACATAAAAATAAACTATTTAAGAATAACGTCACTCCCTTTAAAAATGCCTCAAAACCATAGCAGCTGTGCACAAAATTTCAGCTTGATTGAGATACTCAATATAATGGATTGGCCATAAAACCAAAAAGACTCAGAATAAAAGCCACGTAAGTAAGAACATTAAGGCACTTTAAAGTCTAAATTCAAGTTGATTGGAAACTTTGATATATAAGGAGTAACCTAGGACTAATGGAAGCGATCCGGAATGGGTGAAAAAAGTAGACTCTAAAATGCACAAAGCACAGATGGGAGTATTCTCATTCTTGAATTTCATACACTCTCTTCGCTTCCCCTGCTCTCACATGATAAAGTTATGTATATTTGCACACACACAAAGAACTCAAAACCTGAGCAACTGTCTTCCCAGTGACCTCTCACGTTTTCTTACAACCAAGAAGCTTCTTTGAATAAGCAGTACTCTAACTGAGCTGGATTATTTTGCCAAATATCCCCTTTCTGTCCACCCCTAACCAAAAGTAACCTTTTCTAGGACAACTGTAGCTTCAAGAATTTTGAGAAAACAACTTTATGTTATTTAAGTGACATAAGGAACCTTCTGCTTCTATACTGAACCATACTCAGCATTATAAATATAAGTCCTTTCTACAAGCACAAGAATGGAAAGGTCTTCGGGTTTAAGAGCTCCAGCTTTTAGCAGAAATTCCCCATGTTGAAAATTATAACTCTTAAATAGAGCTGATGATCCATAAAGCACAGTTCTGCCCCAAATACTTGATTTTATGAGCACTTACTGGGAAGGTAAATGTGAATGCCTAGTTAGAAGAAAAAGCTGCTCTACACAATGGTGTGTTACACTGTTAATGACAGCTACATAATAACTATCATAATCAGTGAAGTGTTATTACATAGAGTGCTGAACAGTTACAAACATTTAACAAAATTCCAGAAACAGGCATTTACTTTCTTGTTATAAAGAGTTTCAAAACAGAAGTGATTTAGAATGTGCTAATCAAGCAAGGCTGCTCTGTAACTACATGTCTTTTAAGAAGCCATAATGCAGTGACACTCAGCTTCCTAAAAATAACATAGAAGTGACAGGTTAAAGTTTATAAAAATGAAATCTTATTTCTTTGACCATAAGCTAAACTGGTTATACCATGCATATTCATGCTCTGTCCTTGCAGATGTGGCCCAATATGTGGCATTACTCATGTAACTTGCTAGTTGCTGGGACCATCAGGGATATTTAATATTAAGTCAAGCAAGTTTACTTGTATGGTTTAGTACTTTTTTTTGAGTTTGTCACATGAATAACTTTTATGAGATCCTCACACAAATGGAAATCTCATACCATGATGCTCATTGGTTCTCCATGAATTATTTACTCAAAGCTGGCAAACCTGAATGCAGCTTTTAAGTCTTTCAATGCCAAGTCTGAAACTTAAAAAGATTTCTGTAGCAAAGCTGTAAAAAACCCAAATGATAATGTTTCAAATTAACACTCAAGAGAGAGGTATAATTCACATAACTTCAAATTGCTGTGTCAATCTGGTGTAATTTCTGGAAAATTAGGGAACATTTCTGAAAGCTACAAAAATCTGCAATTATATTCCAGTTTTTTTGCTGCTGGAAACCTGTATGAAAGTGAAATACCACAGACTCAATGTCCTCTCAAATGCAAAAGCACATTGACAATGAAAATAAACCAACTATGCTGTTCTAAATACTGCTGTGCCAAAACAAAATTAAGTCCTGCAAGAAAAAAACTGTAATAGGAAACGGATGCTTGAAGTTGAACTGCAGCATTCAAGATGGGACATAGCTTCTGTAAGAAGAAAAAAAAAGAACCACAAGACTTTCGAGTAAGTGCTGAGATGCTCCATCAAAAAACACGCATAAGAGACAATGGATGAGAGGATCCTTGCTGTATTAGCAACACTATAGTGGCTTCAGAAGCTCACTAGCACCAAAACTGTTACTGTTTGAATACTAAGAGGACAAAATTACCAATAAAAATGGATTGATCTCACAATTTGATTATGCAGAAAAAGAAAAGTGCTGCAAATCAAGAGCTGGTTGCATTAATCACAAATAATCTCTAGGAGGTTATAAAAACAAGTGATCTCAATTTATTAGCTCAATCTATTATGTACATCATGACAAAAGAAAAGCTCATTGTATATCCAGACAACCTGCTGATGAATAAACTTGCCACAGATAACCTAGAACTCAAGATGAAGTCAGATGCAGCGAAATCAAAAGCAGCAGATGTCTCGGCAGCTCAAGTAGAGCACCCTTGAAGATGAGAGATGATACCAAAAGAACAAGGTGTGAATGGCCTCTGGCTACTTCCCTCTCAGAATCAAGGCTCAATAAATATACCTGCTACCATCACGTGCTTGCCTCCTATCATATGTAGGAGCAAAAAGAAGCTTAGCTACCAGAGTAAAGCAACTAGTAAATTCCTTTAGTCAAGACTCAGTTTAAGCAATTATATGTGACAGAAGTAATTAAAAACATCTTTTGCCACTATATACCATAAATCACCAGCAGACAAAAATGCAACTTACTGACATATTAAACAGAGCAGGACTCAGTCAACACTCTAAGAGACAAAGCCCTTTAGTTTCAGAAGCTAGGATCAAGTTCAGAACAAATGGGCTTTGATGTCAACACATACATATCATTTATTTATACACTACTCTAGCTTGGGATGGTATCGATAGACTTAGGCAGCAAAGAAACTGCAAATGTGCAGCAAAGAAACGCTGCAAATCAGCAGCAAAGAAACACTGCATCACATAAGTGAAGCTCCTGATAAACCTCTTTCCAAGGAGTACAGCCCCCAAAAAGCTGCAAGTAAAATGCTGCAAAGCAGAGAACATTATCACAGAGGCCATTTGCCAGACTACAATATTGGCAGAAAAGACCAGACCTGCTGCCTAAAAGATGCAGGAAGAGAATACCACAGCTTCAATGTATGAAGAGGAAGGAAAAGGTCTGGTCAGATCCTTGTTCGCTTACATACCAAAATAATCCCAAGCTGGACTGGGTTCAACTTTCTGGTCCACAATGATGTATCAGTGAGCCAAGGCAGTATAGGATACCTGCTCACTTTCAACTCCCCTGCAACAAAAATGTCTGCTGTCAGTTCATTTAAAAATATGTTAATTGTTGCGCAAAGCAGAGAGTTGAGCATTAGAAGTGTACTGGCATAGTTATTAAGCCTTATTTGTTCAGCACAAGGTTGGTACCAAATAAACAAGGCAACTTTATGTAGAGTAACAATTTTAAAAGCAATTCCTG